AAGAGAATAAATTGTAAATAATATACAAATAGAATTTACATATATTTCTGGAAAGTTTAAAAACAGTGAATTGTAAATTACAATAAATTACAAATTTAAAATTTATGCGGTAAAAACATACATGTATATTATTGGATTATTAAATTTAAAATTAATAATCAATGCTTCATTGCAAGAACAAAATAAAAGTACGATATTAAAATACGAACGATGTTTATACCATAACAAAAACCCAAACAAGATGTTTATTTGCATCGCATTTGATTCGCGTTCGATCCAATTTGCACTGTATAAAAAAAAAAGAAGGTTTTAAATGCGATATTTTGCTGGTTTCGTTCGTTTATCCAGCATGTACGTGCCTTAAAAAGATGCCAAAGAAACTGATAGGACCGGTCGCGATGTTCGATAACGTGCGGGAGCGAAACCGGGGGACATGGCGGCGTCTGTTGCAACCATGGCCGCCCGTGCACTTTTTCCATACTTTGTGTCGACCGGATTATACTCCCGATTTCCCTTCCCCATCTCCTCGCCTGACGTCTACTACTTTGTTTTCTTGGCGCGATAGCTACCTCCGAGGCGGGATGCAGGTGAAGCGGGTAGGTGGGGATAGAAAGCGATTGGGTTTCCTTGATGGGTGCATCCCGACAGCACACGGTCGAAGGTACACGAAGGCATCGAGCATCGTGGCTCGACCTGTAAACACTAAAGAACCATCCCTACATATCTGGTGTATCTTAAGAATCGTATCTACTACTCCGAGTTTAAGAGATTATTGCGAGGAGCATCGCGAACTTTTTATAATAAATTCTAGCTAATAAAAAATATGAAATTCTCATTCATAAAAAATGGTGTAATGTAAGGAAAGAAAATATAAAAGGAGCAATTTAGTCATTTAACTTTAGATAGACTTTCTTTGTAGACAAAGAAGACAAAGTTGCATGACCGCGATAAGTAATAAATGTATCGAATTTTATTTTAAAATATTAAAATTTGAGAAATCAGAGAAGCTGAATTTTTAATTTTAATTATTTCTTTTGCTCTCAGCTTCAAATATTTTTATAAACACTACTTTGTGTCCCAAGTACTTTTTGTATGAATACACCCCGTATGTCTCGCTTTGTTGAATGCATGAAAAACCGAAACTTCTCTCGTAAAACCACCAGGCACATCTAGTCTACCTCACATCGCCGCACATCGCCGCACGTATCCGAAAGTAAAGCAGACACTTGTGGATGAATGTGTGCTACACTCTTGCCCGCGGCGAGTTTATACATGTTGCGGAGTTATGCAAAGCATCAGTCCTCTAAAGTTACGAGGATTTGCCTGCTCGAGATATTTGTATTCGAAATTATTTTCAAATATATATTTTTAAAAAATTACGTTTAAATCTATAAAAATGAAAATATTAAAATACTGGATTGTGTAATGATTTCGGATTTTTAAAATAAATCTGTCTACTTTTTTGTCGGACAAATCGCAGTTTGATTAATACGCAAGTTAAATATTTATTTGTCGAAGTTGTAATATAGTTCTGCCCGCATCACGATTTTTTCACGTTGCGTAAAAGCTGCGTAAAAAATGATAACACTGTTATTAGAAAATATGGAATTACATATTACACAACCCAATATTTGTAATGCAATCTTAAATCTTAAAATTTTAAATATTTCTAATACTATCACGATAGTATTACATTTTTATAATTTTAGTTATAAATACGAATCCAGGCTAAGATAAAAGATGAAATTCAGAGCAATACATCGCATCCTGAACGATCAGTTATCTGTTTTTCTCATAGCATATTTCTTTTTTCTGTACATGTATCTTGCATTTAGGGTTTCACGTATTCACGCGTACCCTCCACAAACGTGAAAGTTGTCCACTTAGATACAGTCATACTATAACATTGCAGTACTCGGCTTTCTGCGCCGCGTCTCCCCGGGAAAACTCCTTAAGCTGTAAAGCGGCGTGTGCACTTTCGTAGGGGTATAAAGCGAAACGTGTCGGTAAAAGAATTGCTGGTATGTGTTACTACGTTGGTACGACCGTGGAGCTAAATATGTCAAGTGGTATATCAAAGTGGCGTGTGTTTCTTTGAGAGCTAAGCTGCGAGTTTCCGCCGGAATATGCCGCAAAAGAAAGAGTTAAATAGTCTTGATCACAATTTTAGCAGCGATTAGCGTGGAACGACGACGACGCTTTTGCAGGTGCATATAATAATTATGTAGAAAAATGATCATCACGAATTCAAAATATTTTTCGCGTAACACGATCTGAGATATTCGCAGACAATGTATGAGATAAAGCGACGCGCAGGATAATATTTAACGAAGATTTATGTGAAGATTCAGCAATTTTTAACTATCAGAAATATGTGGCGTTATATGATGATGAAACTTTAATAAATTTGTAATAAGTATATTGATCAAATATTTATAATGATTAAGATTTTGAAAATATATTATTTTGTTGAAGAGTATTAAACTTCTATGTTCTTTAGATTCAAATTATGTTCTAAATTATAAAGAAATCAATTGAAACTTAAATCTAAGAACAGCTTCTATATTTATACATGCAAATCGTAGATGTTATGCATTTATGCACTAATCGTAAATTATCGGCATTCGATGATAACCTGAATACAATCGTATAACTGCGCTCTTGATCCAATTGTTTTTATACATTGACTCTTATCAGCAATGCAACGATAAAATTAAGTGGTAGCGTCAGTAAAACTTTAATTTGAATGTCACAACACAGTCGACCGAATCCCATCACCATGAAACAATTTGTATGAAAGAATATTTCTATATTTTATTAAATTATTTTAAATTTGATAAATATTTTAGAGAAAGAATTGGTAGCTATTGTAATGCAATACATAAACAAATTACTCAAGATTCTGAATAATTCAGTTTGATAATAGTAGCAAATATGTACAGAATGTAGCGAATCGATAACTCATTCACGTCACATAAATCACAAGTGTCTTTCGCAGCGTTAATTTTTAAGTAAAATGTACGATTACAACGTACTATTACAAAGATATAAAACATAATTGTGAACGTGAGAACGCAGTGCACGATATAAAATAAAATAAAAATATGTGAATACGTGTTTAATCAAATCATTTTCATTTTCCGATATGAAAGAATTAATGACGCGAGACCACCTCAATTCCTATCATCGCGAGTTTTTTATACGTTTATTCCTCAATGCGAGGAAATTTCTAGAGCGAGTTTTTACTCCTTTCACGAATTTCGCGTTTATTGATTTGCGCATACGCGGACTTTCTACATTGAAGCGAAGCACAAATACTTATCGAAATCAATAATCATAAAATATTGGAACAAATTGTGTTTATGGAAATATCGGTAAATTGAAAAATCAATATCAAATACAGCGATTCAAAAATTTATAGATATTTCATAAAAAGTCTTTCGTGCTAGATTTTAGAATAATAAAATAATTTTTATAGCGAATATTATTACTTGACTGCAAAGTATATGCCAAATGCAACTTTCATTAAAAGTTTTTAAGTGAACTGAACAATTCTCGTCAGTCAACGCCTAATGTCTCATACAAATTGCCTTATTGTTCGTATGTGAGCACATGTTGCATACGCGAGCAATGTCGTGTAACGGTGCCGACTCTGCGATTGCCCTTTCCATCGGACTCAGCTGTTTCACTTTTTTTCTCGTTTAACGACTACTATCGCTTCAACGATAATTTAAAACGCTTGTAATTGGATTGGGTTGCTTTAGCTTAGACTTTCAAGGAAACGACAAAAGAAACATTGTAGATCTCGATTTGAAGGGGAATAAAAATAAAATGCAACTAAATGTAAACAATTTTATAAATGTCTCTAATTCACAGATTCTTCCAAAATAATTTTTTGAATTTTTTTGCAATGTTTTAATACTTAAATTTTAGAGAACACCCTATAGAGAACAGGAGACTTATATTATCTACTTGAAATAATTGAGGAAGCACTTAATAATGTGAACACATTGGGCAAAGGAACTTGTAGTCTAAAGAACATTCGCACATGATCGTGGACGTATAAATTGCATGCAAATAGTAAAGCAATATTAAAGATATCTATCGTGAAGTTTTTTCTAATGCTTGGCTCTAAGTCTCCAAGCATTAATGACAACTGCTGCTCATGATAACATAGTTGCAGCTCATGATGACATAGCGCGATGCAGGTAATTCTACGAGATATGGCAGTGCGTCGTAAAAGCAGTGGACAAATTAATACTCGCCGTACAAATTAAAATCCATCCAAACACGATTGGGAATTGGAAAAAATTTTATTTACCAGTGAACATTATATTATATAGTTGTTTTTGACCGTGGCAGTGCCCCGCCTTGATCGTGGCTTAAGAATGTTGCTCGATTACAATGCATCGGCATGGTTGGGGTCCAGGTAACCGAACGAAAAACATGATTCGCGGGAACAGCGGGAGACCGCTGATCACGATCACGATCACGATCATTTTGTAGTCGAGTGGGGGCGAATGACACTAGGCGGGAAGGATGGTCATGTCCCTCGTGAAACTTACAGACAAGTTGAAGCGAGCCTAACTTCTGCATTTGTATCAGGCTTGGTCACGCGTGCTCTGATTCAAGAGCCGCCGGGAGTCGACCGATAAAGATTTGCGATTGTGATAATGCATTGTGATAATGATTTCATCCTAAATTCACCTAATAAAGTGAGTTATAGTCAGTGAACTCGAAAAATGCACGAAGTTGACGTAAGTTCTCTCGCTTCTACGCGGTTTTAGAAATAAACACCTACAATATCTTAAAGAATGTTTAAATTAAAAACTGTAATATTTTATCGCATTAGATATTGAAGTTTATTTAATGAAAATCACATATTCGAATAAGTTGCACAAAAAATATTTTATTTTTTATATAAATTGTATATTTGTATATAAATTTGTTTACTCTTCTATGGTTGATATTAAATGTACAATGTTTTTTAATTGTTGCAGATGTGGGATGACAGCAACTTGGCGGCTTAGCATCTTATGGGTGAGTTAAAACATTTTTTTTCAAATAAACATGACACAAAAAAATAAGTTGATTGCCAATTTTTTTAGTCAACGAAAAGAATTATTAAATGATTAAACTAGCATTTAATCATTATATTTACATTGCGGAGGTTATTCAGTTTTAATAACAAAATTCGTGGTTAAAATTAGTATATATTTTTCACTTGCAAGTGAAACTGCACGTAATAATATTCTCAATTTTATCATTATTGTCAAACAATATCATTGCGATTACAATTATCATTGAATCAATTTAGAAAGAATAAATGTTTTATTTGACTCCGTGATGTAATAGAAAAATAGAAGTCACGCGGGAATACCGAGTGCTCATATAGAATTCGGAAATCTCATTTTTGGCAATGTGTCGTGACGGAATTCTCAGCGAAATCTGCCGGTTTATGCCGATCGAATGCTGGACCGGATAAACATAAAACATGAGACGGCAAAATGGAGGAGAATATAACAAAGAAACATTCTAGCAATACTAAGAAGGATACTAATCTCGCGGGTCTATGTTCGGTATACGTTCGTAACAAAGCTTTCACCTTTCCCCTTATGATTCGTCATTGCCCACCACTGCAGTATTTTCTTATGAGTATCGGATCGTGAGAGCTACTGCTACGAAGGCAATATTAGAAATTATTATATTAATTTTAATGCAGTAGTTGTATTCTACGCGTATTATTTTCGGAGGTAGTAATAAAAATGTATATATATATAGTACACATCTTATTATACATTGAAAATATATATATGCTATGTAAACAAATCATTTCCAAAAGGGGGTAATTTATAACACAAGACCAATGAAACCGCCATGATTAAAACAATTGAACTTTTTGAATTTAATTAATAATAATTGAAAAAGAAATCACAAAAAAATTTAATTTAGAAAGATCGATCAAGTCTCATAATTAACGAAGTTGTTACGTTAAGTTGTATGGTTATTAACCGTAAGACGCGTTTTGCCTTGTTCTAAAAAGATTTCACAATCGAGAAGAAAGCAATTATATCTTTACGATAGATAGGTCAAGAAGTTAAGAAGAGAAGGGAGAGCGAGAAGTTAACGGTGTCTATGTAGATCGCAGGCGGAGACACTGAAGAAAATGGAATATCTCTCTACGCAGTACTTTCATGAAAATATCTTTCTGAAAATAGCTTTCTGGAAATTGCTTTATACGGGATAGAAATAATCGTTATCTCGATTGGTCTTTGAAAAGTCGCTGGAAAATAATAGAGGGAGAAACTTGAAGAGCAAAAAAATTTATAGTAATAAATATGAGAGTATTTTGAAGAGAGTTCATCACGTATTGAGCTGTATTTAAACTGAATTGAAATTCGGAGAAGCTGAAGAAGTTGAAACCATTTTACTTTGCTTGACAGCATTTGGGAAAAATTGGCCACTTTAGAAACTTTTGTTTAATTAAACTGAAAGTGGAAACGGTAATTCCACTTTAACTTTTAGTTAGAAAAATATTCTTGCCTGAAAAGGGATCGAATTGAACCGGAAACTTCCCGCTTTGCTATAAGCCCGCTCGACGTATGTGAAATTCACTGGAAAGTAGATACTTGTTTAAGACATTGCACAAGCGATTCGAAATTAATTCAGAAATGTAGTTGGAACGGAGATAAATAGAAACAACTATTAATTCTATTTTTTATTATATGTAGCAATCGATGTAGCAATTCTTGTTAATGATTACATGTTGTCAACTAATGCACAAACCGGTTGGTAGAAAAAAATTAAAATAGATTGGATGAAAACAACTTCGCATTGTGGGAAAATGATACAAAATAAGTTAACGTTGAAGGGGATGATTGCAATGACTGATAAGTTTCGACTACCACCAATATTCGTACGTATGTCAAAGTATTTTTTCCACGAGAGTTACCTCAAATGTTATCAGAAAATCGTGCCCGTTTTCCAAAATGTCATGGCGGCTGCATTCGTCACAGTGTGTCGAGATTGTACGACCGGCGTTTCTCCCCGAACCGAGAAGTCTTGCTGGGCTGGGTCTCCTGACGAAACGTTGGCATGCCGTGCATGTCGGTGCAGTGGGGTTTCTCATTGATCAGCCGGCATCAGAAGAGAGCTTCGCTCTCATTGGCCAGATTCCACCATATTCTTGTTTCTGCGATACGGATGACAAGGCAAGGAGAGCTAGAGAGACGGAGAGAAAGAGAGAGAGAGAGGGGAGGGGGGAGATATCATAGATTAAAAAAAGACGACACGTGCTGCATGTAAAGGAAAGAGAAATGTTTGTCGATTTATAAGATTGAAACAGAAAGGTTTCAAAATTTATAAGTTGTAAGTCTCAAAATTGTTATATTTGATTTCTCCTTGATTATTAATTATTGTTTAAAAGTTGGCAATTATCTTCTTGGAAAATAAGGAGGATATTTATATTTGTATTTAGATATCTTTAAAACCATCTTCTATTTTCATTTATGTGACTTCTCTTCGATCAGTAGTTCCTGTCTTTTTCGTCTTTTCTACTTCACCATACGCTTCTTTTTGCCTTTATAACTATGCTTTCTTTCCTTATTATTTTTACTGTAAGAACGGTACGACTACGGAAAACGAGTATGCGATTGCCATCGTAAACTTTGCCGTGCCACTAAATAAGGCACTTATGAATTAACCGACGATTAATCGACATTTTGCGTTGACTCTTTCTTTTGCTTCCTCTTTCCTCTCATCTTTCAGCTAGAATTCTACTTTTTACTTCTTCTATTTTTATTATTTTGCGACAGAATTCAATATCGACGTCCGTAATGATGTCGAAATGTATATTATAAGCAACGTAATAAGCCGCATGTTAATTAGATATGTCGCTCATTGACATAGCGGCATCTTTGTATATTCCGAGATTATTTTACTCAATCTTGTGGTTACGCGAGTGTCCGGGATTTAGTGTCGCAAGTTGAGCGAGGAAGTATTTGAATTATATTCACGTTTATCCACTGTTGACTCATATAATTAATAATTGCAGTAGAATACGATACTTCTTATCAAAATGTATATCGAGTAAAGGCTAGAGGGTATTTCAAATCTTCTGATTTCATCTTACATCTGATATCATACCGTTCTGCGATTACGGAAACTGATATATGACTGGGGAAAAATATCTACGATAAAGTTCTATTTTTGTAAAAGAAAACAATATTTTTACATCAAAGTGTTCTACGCCCTACCGAAAGGTCCTTTTATTGATTAGATAACAAACGCGCAATGTCTCGGTGCATGTGGTGCCATCTTTTGAGGAAATCTTTAGTTAAGTTTCGACTAACTCCCCTCTTTCCCTTATGGAACAGTTGTGTGAGAAACGGTGGATGGAATGTGGCGAAAGAGGCAGGGGAAAATCAGGGTGAAGTGGGTTGAGACCAGGCGAGACGGGTCAACCAGTCCAGACCAGTCGGTCGCGCCCCAACAACCCTGTCCGACCCCTGGAAACCGGACGAATAAAGGGGGAGAGGGAGACCGACTAGTATCGATCCGAACGCCTATGTTACACGATTCGTAATCATTTTGGATTGTACGCCCGGGAGTTCGTTCCAGACGAATAGTCGGAACGTTGTCTTCTCAGACCAGGCTCGAGATTATTTAGAAGTAATATTGCGTTTGATTAATGCGTAAAATAACGAGAAGTACGTTAGATTTATGCGTGCAGATTTTTCTTCTCGACGTATCTGATTTTTTTATGCACACAATATAAATTACGAACCATATAAGCGCTTCATTATTTTATTAACTAAAAAACTTGTACAATATTTATTTTAGTTAAAAGATTAAAATTGTACATATGTGATTTTCTTAATTTTGTTTGTTATATATAAAATTCTGTTAAATATTGAATTTAATATTTACACAACATTATTACTAATAATTTGTATGTACAAAATCTCATCTATTTGAGCTTAAAAAGCATGTAACAACACAGCAATATATTTTAATAGGTACATATTTGTAAAGATTAAATATTGAATACTTAAAATTTCAAATTATTGAATTGTAATTTAAAGAAATTTCATATTTGTTTATAAATTTTTTAAAACTACTTAACGTCGAGAGAGAAACTTTGTGAACGCTATAAATCTAAATGTCCTTGAACTTAAACCTTGTGCAGCGTACAAGAGCACATTTCCATATCAATATATAGCACACTGATATAATTTATTCTATCAAACTCACGATCGATTCGTGCCTCTGTGGCGAGCGAAACTTTCGAGTCGTGTAACGTGGATGTAAGTAAAAGCTTGGGCAACTAGTGGTTAGATGGCGACACAAATCAGTCGTGTTGTGGAGCCTGAGTAGAAGTGGAAGCTCCAACCGGAGCTCGAATCACGCCTCTCGTAATCGAGGACATGGCGGCAGCATGGCGTCTAATGTACATCATTGGTATTTCGAGCACGATTTTTTTCGTAACACTGACAAGTTTTTCAGATATTTTATTCACTAGCAGGCATTTATCAGTTGTTTAAAAATAAGACTTTCACTCACGCGATATTTTTTAATTTTATCTCCGATCTATAGCTCCAGTGTAAGCTTGCTTTACGGAAAGCTTGGCACATTTAATGCACGCTGAGATTGATTTATGTGGAACGTAAACTAATCAAATTGATATATGTTAAAATTATCTGATTGAAGCCTTGTCTTGGAGAAACATGTGCTTATTTTTATTCAATATATTATTATGCGATACGATCTATTATAATTAAACTATTCAGATAAATGTGTGAGTTAAAAATCTGATTACAAAATAATGCTAAATTTCATTCATTAATTTAACTTGAAAGATGTGCGACCTTTGTAAGTGATATGCGCGGTATCAGATATCCAATAAAATATGTGACCCTGAAGTATTTAATGCATTGAGATATATTCAACAATAAACGGCTAATATAAATGATAAATAAAATATCTTTAGATTGCCTAAAATAGTAGAAAAAAAATTGGAAGTGTGAGAAATAAGATTGGCT